ACAAAACTACAACTATCTTATATTTGATAAAGGGGCTAAAAGCATGCAATGGAGGAAGGATAGCATCTTCAACAAATGGTGCTGGGAAAACTGGAAATCCATATGCAACAAAATGAAACTGAATCCCTTTCTCTCGCCATGCACAAAAGTTAACTCAAAATGTATCAAGGAGCTTGATATCAAATCAGAGACACGCCGTCTGATAGAAGAAAAAGTTGGCTACGATCTACATACTGTGTGGTCGGGCTCCAAATTCCTCAATAGGACACCCATAGCACAAGAGTTAATAACTAGAATCAACAAATAGGACTTACTCAAACTAAAAAGTTTTTTCTCAGCAAAAGAAACAATAAGAGAGGTAAATAAGGAGCCTACATACTGGGAACAAATCTTTACTCCTCACACTTCAGATAGAGCCCTAATATCCAGAGTATACAAAGAACTCAAAAAATTAGACAATAAGAGAACAAACAACCCAATCAACAAATGGGCCAAGGACCTGAACAGACACTTCTCAGAGGAGGACATACAATCAATCAATAAGTACATGAAAAAATGCTCACCATCTCTAGCAGTCAGAGAAATGCAAATCAAAACCACCCTAAGATACCATCTCACTCCAGTAAGATTGGCAGCCATTATGAAGTCAAATAACAACAAGTGCTGGCGAGGATGTGGGGAAAAGGGTACACTTGTACATTGCTGGTGGGACTGCAAATTGGTGCAGCCAATTTGGAAAGCAGTATGAAGATTTCTTGGAAAGCTGGGAATGGAACCACCATTTGACCCAGCTATTCCCCTTCTCGGTCTATTCCCTAAAGACCTAAAAAGAGCATGCTACAGGGACACTGCTACATCGATGTTCATAGCAGCACAATTCACAATAGCAAGACTGTGGAACCAACCTAGATGCCCTTCAATAGACGAATGGATAAAAAAAAAATGTGGCATTTATACACAATGGAGTATTACTCTGCATTAAAAAATGACAAAATCATAGAATTTGCAGGGAAATGGATGGCATTAGAACAGATTATGCTAAGTGAAGCTAGCCAATCCCCAAAAAACAAATGCCAAATGTTTTCTTTGATATAAGGAGAGTAACTAAGAACAGAGTTGGGAGGAAGAGCATGAGAAGAAGATTAACATTAAACAGGGGTGAGAGGTGGGAGGGAAAAGGAAAGAGAAGGGAAATTGCATGGAAATGGAAAGAGAGCAAGTTGCAGTCTTTTTCCCCCCTCCCCCCCACCCCCTTGTGCTCAGCCGCCCTGTTCTTGAGGTCTCTTTTCTCAAACCATGCTTCTCATCTTATTTTGGGGGGAAATACCTTGAGCAGAGTACAATGGGAAAAGTATCTCTACACCCTTCTGTTCTAAATTCATTTTTATCCCTTCCTGTCTCAAAACAAAAAACTGTATGGAATCAACACCACCATGCTCTGTGGGAAAAAAAGAAAAACCTTCTGCTCCCTTCACTCTGCTGGAAGTTGGAGGGTGCTAGGTCCCTGTGTAGTAGTACATAGAATTCTAGCTTTTTTCCTCCTTTCTCTGTATATTGGGCTCAGAGATTACACTGTGTCTCTATGTGAATACGGACAGTTAGCATTTACCAACATGTATCTGTCTACTTTTTCTTGTTTAAAATAAGAAAAAAAAACTTTAAAAAATGGGGTTATAGAAGGTCAGCAAAGGGTGGGTTTGAGATGTTTGGGTGGGTTAAGCGGGCATTTTGACAACATGGCTTCTCCTTTGGCATGTTTAATTGTGATGTTTAACGGACATCCTTGCAATTTAAGATGACACTTTTAAAATAAAATTCTCTCCTAATGATGACTTGAGCCCTGCCACTCAATGGGAGAATCAGCAAAACCTGTAGGATTTTATTTGGAATTGACATTCTCTATTGTAATTTTGTTTGCTTATTTTTAAATTTTCTTTTTTGTTTTCACTGGAAAGGAAAGATGATGCTCAGTTTTAAATGTTAAAAGTGTACAAGTTGCTTTGTTACAATAAAACTAAATGTATACACAAAAAAAAGGATACACACACGTACAGATGGATACAACGGAAGTTCATATAAAAATGAAGAATGATGTGGAAGATACACAGAGGCAACAAAATACACAAAACTGGCAACAAGAGCTTCCTTTGTGGGAATGAACTGCGATTGTGGAAGTAGGTATAGTATCTTTTGAGTTTCATGATTTTTAAATATTGTTTTCTTGTCACATGCATGTTTATGTCAAAATGAAAATATGTTTTCTATAGTTCACTCTAAAGAAGTAATGAAAAGAGGGATTTCCCCAGGTCCCAACACTAGGCAGACTTATTTGGAAGTGAGCCCAGGACTGTTGTCCAGGAGGCAAGGACTGACCTCCTAAGAGCTAATCAGTTGGCTCCTGCACACACTCAGGCCCCTGCTAAGGCTCTTTCCCCTTGACATCAATCACGTTTCACACCAATCCCTACATGCATTCACAAGTAAGATCAGCCTAAAATTGCTGGTATTTTCTAATCTTTTCACATCTAGGTATGATTATTATAGCTACTGCATAAAAAGAATGTGGAATATTTCCTTCTTTTTCTGTGCTCTGGAGGATTCAAGTGCCATCAACATTATGTCCTTTGAGAGTTCCTAAAAATTTTTCTATGAAATCATCTGGGCCCAGAACACTTTTGTATGGGGAAACTTCTTCAATAACTGTATTCTATTTAAAATTATGAATTTAAAGGAAAGGTAGCAGAATACAACAGTCACTAATATGCCATTATGTAAAAATGTGAGTGTGTAACCGATGTGATTCTGCAATTTGTATTTGGGGAAAAAATGGGAGTTCATAACCTAATTGAGTCAAATGTATGAAAGATGATATATCATGAGCTTTGTAATGTTTTGAACAACCAATTAAAAAAATAAATAAATAAAATTATGAATTTAAATTTTCTATTTTTACTGGGGTCAATTTTATTAAATCATTTCTTTTAAAGATATGCAGATTTCATGTAAATTTCCAAATGTTTTGCACATAGTATTGCAAATCAGTTTCCTGTGTTCAATTAGTCCTGATTTCTAATGCATAAACATAGTTTCATATTCTCTTTTATTTTCATATTCATATTATTTCTCTATTCTACATTTTCCCATGTAATTTTTTTAATTTTTCTATATCTATGAATTGAGCTCTTTAGATAACTTATTTTCCTTTTTGGCATAATTTCCTAAAGCTGTGACTTTTCTCTGATTACTACTTTAATTATATCTTGTAAATTCTGACATATAGTAAGTTTTTAAAATCATTTTTAAATGTCCTATAATTAATTTTGTGGTTTTGTTCTTGTTGTTGTTTGATTCAAGAGTCAACAAAATGTTTTTACAAAATTAGACAGAGGCCCTTTAAGAGAAAATCTGATGTTGTTCATGTTTCTGATTTATAGTTGTATTATTTGGTTCCTATCTCCTTTTATTCCTGCCCTTTCTTTCCACTTAAATATTTTGCATCTCTGTGTTAAGGAAACTATTTTTTGTTGTTTTGGAAAAACTTTCATCTTTATATTCAATTTCTTCCCAATATTCTGTCACATCTTTGTGCAATTGTCTATTTCTATTCAGAATTTTAAAATCCCAAGTTACAGGGTGTTTTTTTTTTCTTTTTTTTCATTTCTTGTTTGATTTAATTTAATTCATATTGGGCATTTTTTTACATTTTATAAGTTTTTTCCTAAGTGCTTTCATTAGCTGAAAAGGTTTGACTTAGAAATCTGCATGGACAGGGAGGGCCACAGGAAACTGACACACACCACTCTGTGTGCTGTGTATCAGTTTATTTCTGCTCCTGATGGGGTGTGGATTTTCCTGACCAGCAGTCACAGGTGGCTCAGCCCCTGGGATTGAGGTGGCTGGTTTCAGAGTGCCCTCTTCTGTCGATCAAGTGAAGTGCAGTTTTTTAAAAAATTGGTGTTCCTGTGGGTGAGGGGTTCAGAATTCTTGGAATTCTTTGATATTTTCTGTTTCTGTGGTACTCTTATTTTCAGCCCCTCTCTATTTTCCGTACCAAACCTCCAAAGAGACATTTTCCCTTTCCAAGGTGTCCCTCTCTGGCCCGAAAATGTCTTTCCAGCCCTAGGCCTCTGTCCCCCCAAGCTTTCCAAGTCCTCTTCTGTCTACAGTCACCCTTGCTCTAATAGCAGGTCTCACCTGAGCTCATGCTGCCATTGGAAGAAGAGAGCCCTATAATTCATGCATGAATGTACTTTTTCAAGACTATTGGAAGTACCTTTGTGGGGTTTTTAGTCAAGCTAATGTTTAATATACACATTAAAGGCCATTGCTTCAAACAATTTTTCAAACAATCAATATATGAAAATGTATAACACCACAACTCTGACCGTGGCCACTGTTCCCCTTAAGGAGTACAGCAGTCCCAATGTAAGTGAAGTCTCCATGTCCCCAGTGACACCTTCTGTCTGCACTCTTGGGCTAAGTTGCCCAATCTGGCATCAAAATTTCAATCACCCTGCCTCACCCTCCCCAGTAGCTAGGATTATAGTTATATGTCACTGTAGCTAGTTACTGTTGTTTTCTTAAGTGTGAAAACTCTTTAATATGATGTTCTTGTTCTTCTCCTGGGATGGATGGATGGATAGATAGATAGATAGATAAATTTTTGAACCCAGGGGAACTTTACCACTGATAGCTATACCCCCTGACCTTTTTATTTTGTATTTTTATTATTTTTAATTTTATTAGAGCATTATAATTATACATAGTATTTGGGTTCATTTTGACAAAATAATACGTGCAAAGAATCCCCATTCCCCTCGTTCTTTTTCTTCCCTCCTCCTTCTCCCTATTCTCCTTCCTCTCCTTTATTGATCTTCCTTTCGCTCCTTTATTTATTTTTGTTTGGTATTTTCTACATGTACATACAGGTGTAATTCTTTTTGTTACATTGATATATGTATATAACACGATATTGTTGAATTCATACTTCTACCCCTTTTCCTTCTTTCTTCCATCCCTCTTGTTCTTCTCCTCCACTGATCGACCCTATATCTTCAAGATATCTTATCCCCTCCCTCACCACCTTCTTTCCCTTACTTGGCCCTAGCTTTCACATATGCAAGAAAACACTGGGCTCTTGATTTTCTGAGTCTGGCTTATTTTGCTTAACATGAATTTCTACATTTCCTTCCATTACCTGCAAATACCATTATTACATTCTTCTTTATGGCTGAGTAAAACTTCATTGTGTGGATATATCTATATAGCTATATATATGTTATTATATCTATAGGTTTTCTTGACCCATTCATTTGTTGATGGGCATCCAGGTGGATCCCATAATTTGGCTGTTGTAAACTGTGCTGCTCTAAACAGTGAAGTGGCTATATGGCTATAGTGTGCTGATTTTAGTTCTTTTGGACAAATATCAAGGAGTGAGATAGTTGAGTCATATTGTGCTTCCATTCCTAGGGTTTTTTGTGTCTATTTTTTTTGAGGAGTCTCCACACTGCTTTCCACAGTGGTTGTATTAATTTTTATTTTGTATTTTAAGACAGTGTCTCACTAAGTTGCTGAGGGTCTCACTAAGTTCTGAGCTTGGCCTCAACCTTCTTACCTCAGCCTCCCAAGTCACTGGGGTTACAGGTGTGCACCACTTCATCCAGCCTCTTATTTTCAAGTCTTTTGTGTTGTTGTTCTGATACTAATTACAGCCATTCCCATTTCTTTTATTATTGTTTGCATGGTTTATCTTATCCCATTCTTGTACTTTTTCTCTGTGTCCCTTGTTGACAGCATGTAGATAGATTTTGCTTTGTAAGTCAGTCATCTTTGCCTTGTAGCTGCAGTATTGGAATCTATCATGTCATTTTAATTATTAATATGGTTACATTTAAGTCTATCATCTTGCAATTTGTTTTAAATTTGTCCCATGGTTTTGTTTTTTCTTTCATCTTCTCTTTTCTTATGGATTAATTTTTAATTTTTTTAAAATTTTTACTCCATCATTGGGTTGTTAGCTATAAATCACTGTTTTGTTCCTTTAGTGTTTGTTTAGAATCCAAAACATACATCTTTAAGTTATCTCAATCTACCTTCAATTTATTTTACCACTTTATTTTTAATACCTTTAGTACCTTACAAGAGGGAAAAGAATGTCACTCTATTCCCTATCTTGAACTTTGTGCTTTCATAATATACAAATTACTACATATTGTTTTTGTGTAGTCAGTGGTGATTTAAGTGACTTAAAAATCAGAAAAATCCTTTTATATTTATTTATATCATTTTCTTTCTTCAAGTAGATCCAAATTTCATCTGATATTTTTGTTCTGCCTAAAAGAAGTTCTTTTTAATATTTAAGTGCAAGTCTGATGCATAGAATTCTCTTGGTTTTTGTGTCTAAAAATGCCTTTATTTTTCACTTTAGAAATATAGTCACAAGTTAAGAATTCCAGCTTGACAATTGTCCATATTGTCCTCTGGGTTTTTTAAATGTATTTTATCAATTTGATTACAACCTGCCTCGATGTATTTTTCACTGCTTATTCTGTTTGGGTTTCTTGAGCTCCTTGGATGTGTGACTTTATAATTTTTGTCAAATTTGGAAATATTCAGCCATTATTTCTTCAAATGTCTTTCTATTTTGTTCTTCTCCACTGTCCTGGGACTTGAGCTACACTTATGTTGAAGTGAATGAGATTATACCCACAGGACACGGGTTTTTGTTTGTTTGGTTGGTTTTTGGTCATGTTCCCTCTATGCTTAATTTTAAGTGATTTCATTTTCAACATGCTCCAACTTCACTATCGTTGTCCCCAACCCCTGTCAAAACTCTAGCTGATTTTAGAGCCTCTTTGTGCACTTGGCCAGGATGGAGCCTATGGCACCCCACCTCTCCTTAAAGGGCCTGTAGTGCACCCTGCACCACAGCTTCCCATGAGTTATCTGTTGTTTTCCCCCCTCATCTTGAGGGTGGGAGTCGCGCTCCTAGTTTTTACATCCCAGGCAGAAGAGAAATCCTCACCTGGACTATTCAAAGAGCCCCTCAGTTGGTTCTCTTATGCACCTTGTGCCCTCCCAGTCCATTCCCTGCACTATATCCAGGAGGATGAGAGTCAAGTTTGATCGTGACTTTATTCTTGGGATGACCACAGTCCTCTATGTGGCCTGCCCCCGGCTCTTGCATACTACTTCACCTTGATTTCTCCCAATAACCACTTTATTCTCTGAGCAACAAATCAAACTCCTTTTCTCTTTCCCTGCAGCCTTCATTCCATTCACTCAGTTCTTTCCTATTCATTGAGAACTCAGATGCACTCCACTTCCTCAGGGAGACCCACCTTCGCCCTAGCCTGTCCCCATGTCTCCTATGTTCTCCAATCACCTGGCTTGGTAGTACTTCCATCTGTCTTCAGTTGTCTGATTATTCCATTTACATCTCTCCCCGGCCAGTGTCTCAGAAATAGGAGGGCAGGGCCTGAATTTATTTATTTGCAGGTCCCCAGAACCTTTACTGGGCCATGGAGAGAGCTGGGAGGAATCAGGGAGGTCATATCTGGGCTACAACAGTCAACAGCACTGGTTGAAACTAGCCTCACCCTGACCCTGGGCCCCCCAGCACCATCCTGCTGCCAGCTGTACATTCTAGAACTTAGATGAGGTTGGAAAATGGCTTGGATCACAGTGAGGCTCAGGCAGTTTCTGATAGAAAGAAATGCCCCAGTGAAAAAATGTTTGCACTGTGGAAGAGTCAAAGGTGAGGCCTCCTGTTTCATGTCAGTGGTGCTATTAACAGGAAGAGGTTCCGCAGGATATTGCTTAACTAACTCTCTCTCGCTTGTACCTCTTTAAGGCTGTTCTTTCTTGTGACTCACTTAACATGCTTTGTTGGATCTAAAGATCTAGCAAAGGATGTAGCAGGTAAAATTATTTTTATACTTCTGGGTATTTATTAAAATGTGTGTTTTATGGTTTTCAGCAAATGTCAACTAACAGTTACTGCTGTGAATACAAAGTTCATCCCCTTTTATGGAGAGGTACTGATCTCATGTAAAATGAAAGAACACAAGTAATACCACTGTATACTGGTAGGTCTTAGAGAAATTAAAGATATAGAACACAAAGAACCTGACACCTTGAAAGTAACTCTACCACTGGATATCAGCTCCTAGAGAAATAATATGTGGAAATAAGTCTTTACTTGTACTGGTAAATGTCATTTGTTGTTATTAAATAAAATTTTGTTTTAGTCTGCAAAGATATAACCAGTGGAAATGTTGATACTCATGTGCTGTCGGGAAATCTCTTTTATCTTCTGGAACTTGACAAGGAAAACTTCATCAAGAACTACATAACCAAGTGTCTAGAACTATCATTGCTTGCCAACTTTTAGGCATTTTTCCTTTTGGCCTTACAATAGTCTTCTTGTTTACACAGATGCAGCTCGGCAGTTTTAGAGATTGGGAGTCACACATTTTCTACTGTCAGGGTGATTTACTACATATGAATAAATGTATTTCTCCATGGATTATTTATGTATCTGTGGATGAAAGGCAAGTAGGCAAGGAACACTTCTGGCAAAGTCCTTTATCTTTCTATTAGAATTCCACTTAATTCTCATTTGTGGGAAGTTTGTCAACAAAATTCATGCTTGGTAAAGTATTATTTTTCCTTCAATTTTTTTTCCAGTGCTGGGGATCAAAACCAGGGCCTTGTGCATGCCAGGCAAGTGTTCTGTTACTGAGATATACCCTCCACCAGCCCTCCTCAGTTATTTTACTGGTGAAAATGGGTGATGGGGGAAATGCTTGGAATTATTATCCCTGGACCCTGAACTCTCTCAATTCCCAAACTAGTTCCTCTCTTCAAGGCCTGACTAATGCAATCAGATTCACTCCCCCAGTTTCCTTATTTCTTTCACTTCTTTACACTAAACTCCACTACCTAGTGTGATTGATGTCATTTTCTCATATTCCACACTGCTTAACATAACATTATATATTAAAATGTTAACTTTTAAAGCATCTACTTGTTTACAATCACATAACATGAACTCATTCTTTCTTACTATTTTAAAATAATGTAAGTAGGGCCTTTTAAATTTTTTATAATTATAGATGGACAGAATTCCTTTATTTTATTTGTTTATTTTTATATTGGTGCTAAGGATCGAACCCAGTGCCTCACACATGCTAGGCAAGTGCTCTGCCACTGAGCCCCAGCCCCAGCCCTGTAGGTAGGGTCTTAATAAATAAGATTAAGGAAAATGCACACAGGAGAATTTCCCAGAATTTATCTTCCCTTTTAACAAAGTACAAACAATATAAAATTCATTACAAGAGGGAGTTAGAATTCACATAATAAACTTAGGCTAGAAACAACCTCAAGTAAATTATGTTAAATGTTTACTATACACTGTACTACCCTTTACTCTGATGCAATTTCCAGAGCCCCCTTACTAAAAGATTAGTCCAAAATGATGTGGGCTGGGCACAATGGCACATGCCTAAAATCCCAGGGACTTCAAGGCTAAGGCAGGAGGATTACAAGTTTGAGGCCAGCCTCGGCAACTTAGCAAGGTCCTAAGCAACTAAGCAAGACTCTCTCTCAAAATGAAAAATAAAAAGAGCTCAGTGTAAGTGCTGCTGGGTTCAATCCCTGGTACCAAAAAAAAAAAAAAAAAAACAAGTAATTTAGATTTGTGATTATAATTTGAAAAACACTTTAGTCAACATAGTTCGCAATCAGAAGTCTCATAATGTAGCAAATGCCAGGGCTTGGGGGTGGGCTTTTTCTGCTGCCCCTCCACTTGGTGGAGGGAAAGTCCAGTAGGGAACAGCTCTGACTTTCCAGGTCTTCAATTACAACCAGGCCTACTATTGCTAGTGTCTTATCTTTGAAGGACTTGGGCCTTGACCTCATTATGGAAAACTTCTGTGTTTAGGTAAAACTTAGCAAAGATGAGAATCATTTTTGCTTTCACAAAATTTACAAATGAGAAATCAATTTTGATTTTTTTAATTCAGTTTTTTTCAAGGCAACTCTAGATTCCCAGGTAATTTTAATAAATAATTTAGAAATACTATAAAATGAGTAAAGTGTGCTATATGCATGAACAAATATGCTGCAAGGAAACCTATTATGCTGTATAACTAGTATGCACTAATAAAAAAATCCCCCCCCCGTTAACACTGTGCAAAACTATAGTAAATATTACAACCAGAATATTGACATTGCGACAGTCAAGAGACAAAACATTCCAACACTACAGGACCCTCCTGCTGCCCTGTGATACCCACACATATCTCCTTCCTCTCTGTAAACTACAATTCTGTTTTAAAATATTTTTAGTCGTAAATGAATACATTTATTTATTTACTTATTTATTTATATGTGGTAATAAGGATCAAACCCAGTGCCTCACATGTGCTAGGCAAGTGCTCTATCACTGATCCACAACCCCAACCCCTGGAAACCACAATTCTGTCCTTTATATGTATAACTTGCCACTTCAAGAATTTCACCTAAATAGAATTATACAGCACATAATATTTTGGTATTACTGTTTGTACTCAGCTTAATTCCCTGGAAATTCATCTAGTGGATCAAGAGGTTTTTGCTTTGTTCTGATCGTTAGATAAAATGAAGCCAATCTATCCATCTGGTAATTCCATATCAAACCTGAATTCTTTTTTTTTGGGGGGGGGCGGGGGTTGTTTTGTTTTGTTTTTGTGGTGCTGGATAGAACCCTGGGCCTCACATATGCCAGATAAGCACCTTGCCAGAGCTGTATCTTGATCCCCTAAACCTGAGCTCTTAGGCAGGAAACAGAGATATACTCTTTGGGGGGATGTTTATCTCATGGAATCTCAAACAAGTTTTCTTCTTTCTCTTTTCTTGCAGTACTGAGAATCAGGCCTAGGACCATGCACATTCTAGGCAATGCTCTACCACTGAGCTACATTTTAGCTTTTTATTTTTTGAGGTAGGGTCTCACTAAATTGCCCAGGTTGAACTCAAACTTGTGATCCTCCTGCCTCAGCTTCCTGAGTAGTTGTGAGTACAGGTGTATCTTACCACACCCAGCTTTCAAAGATCCTGTGAAACAACAAGAAAGACTGAGTAGTGTGGGTCATCATCATTCCAGACTCTATATTTTCACTCCAACAAAACTGATCCCAAGGGGCATAGTAGGGGTACAGTGGATCACTAGATACATTTTATTGATTCTTTTATGTTTTAAAGGTAAAAATTAAATATTTCCACAGTGTTTTTTTTTCCTTCTTTGAGGAGCTAAAAACAGACTTATAAGTTTCTTCCTTCCTGGTTTGTTTGTGGTGCTGGGAATGGAACCCTGGGACTCATGCACATTAGGCAGGTGTTCTACCACTGAGTGAGCTACACCCCGGGGACCCACAAGGCTGGACTCGAACTTGTAATCCTGCTTCCTCAGCCTCCCAAGAAGCTAGGATTACAGATGTGCAACACTGCACCCGGCTGCTGTTGATTCTTAATAAACTGTTTTTATTACCCCAGTAGCACTCCCTCATTATTGAGAATAGATTCATCAAAAGAGCAAATAATCATGGGCTGGGGTTGTAGCTCAGTGGTAGATCACTAGCCTAGCACGAGGTCCTGGGTTTGATCTTATTTTTATTTATAAAAATAAAAAATAAAATAAAGGTATTTGTCCACTACAACTAAAAAATAAATAAATTTTAAAAAGAGCAAATAATCAAAGTTTTGGTATACAGGTAGGACTGTAGCTCAGTGGTAGAGTGCTTGCCTAGCATGCCTGAATCCTGGGTTTGAACCAATACCACCAAAAAAAAAAAAAAAAAAAAGGTTTGGTATACATATTGCCAGAGCAATGATTTTTTAAAAGAACCTTTAAAGTCATCTGGTTTCAGCCAGTGAAATTTAGTTAACTGTGCATTTTCATCATACTCCTAAGTATTACAAATCCTGCTCATAGCAAAAATATCCGTGGTCCAGTATTAACAGTGCATTTCCCACTAAATGTAAGGTCAAGATACCATTATGAAGACTTCAGAAGGAGCACATTCTCATCTATTGCACTTTAAATTCCATATTTTTCAATCAGCTCTTTGGCTTTAGAAATATAGGCACTCATGGCATCCTCCTTGGACAACCCTAGAAAGACACAAACAGATCACGTCACCTCCCTGGTTGGTGGAGTGGGAGAGTAAGAAGTACGAAGGCTGACTTGAAATTTGTTGAAGAATTAAAACCTTTTTGGAAGCTCCATGCTTCCCACTTCGCCCTGCCTTTGACATCCAACAGTGCTGGACATGCTGCCAAAAGAAGGAAAGAGAGACTGTCAAGTTGACTTCTTACTGCACACTTTCACAAACACCAAGTATGCCCTTATTTTTTAAAAGGATAATATAATACCAATATCAATGTCTCCAATGACAGCTTGCTTGTAAAGGCCATAGATTTCCTTCAGTTCTTCATCCTCTGGTCTTGTTTTCAGCTTCTTCACATCTTCTGTGGCCCTGTCAAAATCTGCCTAGAGCCAAATAAAATAAAATAACACAAGAAAAAATCAAAGAAAAAGGCACACAGTGCATGGGCTAATGTTACGAAGACCCATTGCACTTTGGGGGTGTTGACCACCAAGGAATGGGACTCGAGAGGAGAGGAGAGGGAGGGGGTCAAATAGAAATGAGCTATTGCTGCTCATGTTCCACCAGAATTATCCTAATTTATTGGGAATCATGGACACTTCACCTGATACATAGACAAAATATGGATAACTAAATAAGATTCGTGACATTGGAAAGGATCAATTTATGTATTTTAAAGGGCACCACAGTCAGTGCAGCTTTCTGGATCATCTTATGAACACCACCGTCCTCTCCTATGTCCAGGACATTCCTCTCGCAGTGTCCACACTCTTCAGTGACAGTGGCTTTATACCTATCTAGTGCATTAACTTGGTTCTGAGGGCAGTCAATATCATTGATTTAGTTGGATTTCTCATAGAGTTGCAATACATAAACCCCAGATTAAAAGACTTAATATGAACTAATGTCCAGAAAAGAGAAGTTGTTTGGCAACATAAAGCTGATCAGCAAACTGAGCACACAAATACACTTGAGTGGGAAACACTGTCTGCACCATCCTGAATTCTCTCCGAAAAACCTAGTCTCTCTGTGTGAGTCAGCTTCCTGTCACTAGAACATACACTGGAGAGAAGTCAAATTATAAAGAGAAAAGGTTTATTTTGGTCCACAGTTCTATTAAGCCCACAAGTGACTGGCTCCATGGCTTTGGGCCTGTGGAGCATATCATGGCAGCAGTTTGTGGTGAATCAAGACCACTTTACTCATGGCTGGGAACAAAAGAGAGGAAGGAGGAAGGGGTAAGGCCCACAGTCCACATCAAGATCATGCCCCTAATGACTTGGAGCCCTCCCACTGGCCTCTTCCTCTTTTTAAAAAATTGTTGCCATCTCCCAATAGTGTCATGTATAGGTATAGTATAGGATACCATAGAATTAGTCCCCCTCAGAGGGCCATTCCAGATCCTAAATACAGCACTTCCTACCTCCCAAGGCCTTCAACTCTTAGACCAGGACAGCAGCTGCTCTCTTGGTAGCTTCCATTCAGGGAGGAAGTCCGGCTCTACCTGCCCTGGAGTCTGAGCACTCCTGGACACTTCATCTCTTTCCTCTTTTGACCTCTTAGCTGATTATTTTTCTTATTAGAATATCTTATTCTTTTTAATAAACTGTATCTACCTTGTGGCATTTGCTTTAAGTTGGGGGTAAGCAGGAATCGTCAGTAGCCTGGGTATCAAATTCGAGAAGGTGAACATGGTGCCCCAGCCCCACCCCCATCCACCTTATATTTTTCCTCAGATGTTAGTGTTCCCTTTTGGTTCAAAGGCCTGGGAGAGAAAGTGAAGAAAAAGCCCCACTGTAAGCTCAGAAGCCTATGAGCTCAGCAGTGTTGCTGGGTAAAGCTAGCCCCAAAGACAGGACAGTAGCACAGCCAGAATTGTTTTATGATGAACATGAGTCATCTATAAATTGGAGACCAGGGTCTTCAGGCTAAATAACCTTGAAAATGGCCCTGCTTCCTAACAGATTTCTGTAGGAGATTGAGAAGGATGTGTGCATGTGAGAAAGTTGCCTTGCCCTTCAAGAAAACTCAGTTGCTGTTCACGTAACATCATGGTTAAGGACACAGGCTTTGAGTTGATTTTCATTGTTTTTACTAAAGAGCTGGGTTACCTTGGGCAAGTTACTTAACCTATGTCTGTTTCTTCATCTGGAATATGAGACAATAACAACAAATTTGTTAGGAGAACTTAAATAAGTTAACACATGTAAAGTACTTAAGAGAATGCCTAGCAGATGATGATTATTCAATAAGGGTCAGCTATTATTAGTTGCATTAAATGGTTCTTTGGAGGAGTGGGTATACAAAGAAGTCTTGATAAAAGCACAATTATGAAGACATGAAATACACTTTTAACTTATCATTAAACAAAGAACACAAAATGGTTTCAATATACTCAGCTTTGAAAGTTATGTAGAAAAAGTCAGACTAGAAATAAATATACTAAAATAGGTAAGCAGTAATTGCCTCTGACTATTGGTAGGTTTTCTGGGTTTTTAAAACTTCTGTACTCTCCACATTTTTCATAACATACATGTAGTGCGTGTACAAGGAAAACAAAACAATTGCTGCATGAGTGATCAGGGCTCCAAAGGACAAGCCAGGCCAGGTGACTGAGGGGACAGGGATGCTTCTCTTCAGGTGTATCAGCATCTCAGAGGTTCTGTGCTATGAATATTCATGCTATTCTCCAGTGACACCAGCTCAATTCCTGTTGGTCAGCCAACCCTTGATTAATATTCTAAGGTTTCTAAAAAAAATCATGCAAGCCCCCTGCCTTGCATGAAATAGTTTCTGGGAACGTATTCTTCATATTCTGGGGGCTACAGAACCACAAAAAGATCTTAGTGAACATCTTGGACCCCTTCCATGCTGATCCTGACATGCTGTCCCTGACATGCTGTCCCATGCCATTTCAGCAATCCCCATCTGTCCCTCCTCCCTCCCCAGGTAGGGAACACTGCCCAGAATTCCTCTGTATGCAGCCTGCCTCCCCCGGCACCTCTATTTGATCTGTTCCTACTTTAGGGTGTTATTCCATTGTCCCTTCCACCATGATGCCTCTCCCTCCCCAACCACAGTAAGCAGCAGTGGAAATAATACTGGACTTGCATGGCATACTCAAGATTTCTATTCTACCTTTGAGGCACACTGCTGTGGGGCTCTGCAAGACACCAAGCTCCTCTGAGGTACAGCTTCAGAGAAAAAAAAAAAGATACTACAGGGTGGACATTCATAATCTGAAAATATGAAACCTGAAAAGCTTCCAGGTTAGAACTTTCGGAGTGCTGATAGAAAGTTTCACACTTACTACCATGAGCACATTCAAAACACAGGTACATTAAAAATACATAAAATGACCTCCAGGCTATGTGTGTACGGCATTCACATATAAAACATACATGAGTTTCATGTTTAGACTTGAATCCCATCCCCAAGATATCTCATTCTATTTATTCAAATATTCCAAAATCTGAAATGCTTTTGATCCAAAGTAGTTCAGATAAGGGAAACCCAACTTTTATAAGAGTCTCAGCAGGAAGGTGTGAGGACTAAATCCAATCAGGAATGTAAATACTCTTGATTTGATTCTGTGGACTCTTCCCTCCCAGAGCTCATCATAGATACCGTGCTAATCAACAGTGTACTGAACACCTAGGACGGGCCTGGCCTGTGCTAGGCAGGCAGGGACGAGCAGGGCAGTCTGCTTGAAGGAGCTCAGAATCCAGAGGGAGACATGCATGGCAACAGTGACCTTGTGAGACTTGCTATAAAGGAGAAGCAGGCTGCTCTGAGACTGGAGGAGGGAGTGGCAGCCCAAAAGGGATGGCCTCTAGAAGCCTTCCCAGAGGGATGAGTTGGGGGAAGGTAGTTAGTGCTAGCTGAGTGGACGAGGGAGACAAAGCATAGACAGAATTTACCAGTGCTCAGCACAACGGCCGGGTGAAGTTGCTTTGGTTTGTTCCATCACATATACATAATGGAGTGCAGGTATAAACATGCACCTTGGTGGCCACAGCTGAGTTTTACACACTGCCAGCAGGTGACAAAGGCAGGTCTGAGTCCAGTCCATACATCCTTGTTGGATGAATTAATGAGTGACTGGATATTAGGAAGATCACAAAGTTATAAAGGTGAGACACAGCTTTAATCCCTTTAAAAAAATACACAGTCTCACTAAGTTGCCCAAGCTGGCCTCAAACTTGCAGAATCCTGCCTTAGTCTCCCAAGTCACTGGATTATGGGCTGCACCACGGAGTCCAGCCCATTTACATTTCTTTTCACATTTCACCCTAGCTGAAGACAGCCTTGAAGGATAACTCACACTTAATTCAACTTCACTTTCTGCAGCCAAAGCACGTGGGCATCTCACACGTGACCTTGATAAAACCTTTTTGAACCATTCATTCCCATGAGGAACTGAATCAGGTAGATAAGAACTCCTCACAAAGTAATTTCACAGATCTTAATCACACATACATGTGGGGAAGAAGAGTTAGTTAGTTGCTGAATATAAAATCACAAATCCCCTTAGACTTGAAAAGATGTACCTCCTTGAAGGGACAGTTTGCTGTTTTTAGCTTCACCATGTAGGAATGAAATATGTCCAGTTAAGATGACTAAAGCTTTGCTGAGGGAGTAAACACATTGCAATTTAAAGATAAAACTGGGGGATCATAGCTGAGTTAGGAATTCCATTTATCTTGTTGCTTCCAGGAGTATCAGCCAGTTCTGTTTATTCTAGCATAAAACATAGAAGATTGGGGCTCCTATGCTTGCGCCCTTCTTCTCATTTCTACTAAGTGAGTCACTGATAGCATCTTGAAGCAACACAAGTATCAGTACAATGTCTGCCATAATGCCAGTTAGGTCATGAAGGTTTAAATATATCAGCTAGTTGTTGGTCTTTTAATTTTAATTTTTATTAGTATTTGAAACCTTTTTTGAAATTATTTTAGATTCAGGTAAAAGTTATAAAAATAGTATGATTTCAGTGTACCTTGTACTCAGTGTCCCTGCTGTCTTTTTAAAATGGTATTTTCACCAATACTCTGAGTACTCAAGTGAATTGTTAGTAGATAACATTATGGTGGGTGCTATTAATATTTCTTAGCCTGTTGCTCTTCTGTGATGATTCTGAACCTTTAAATCCTTACTGAAAATATTTTTAAAGCAACAGAGAAAAAATAGAAATAAAAAAACCAGTTAACAACAATAGTGAAAAATCATATTACTAAGCTAAATAATAACCATTTAGATCTTTTAATGTGAAGGAAGTTTTGATTATTTGGGGAAAAGTTCAGTATGAATTAAGTTATCTAATGAGCTTATTCTTATTGCACATTTACCCTCCACCAGGCACTGTTAAATGCTGTACCTGCTGCTCATTTAACAGTTATTTGTCCTTCATTTCTAAATGAGAAGGCTGAGGCACAGAGATCAACTGTATCACGTACAAAGTGGGTGACAGGGCATGGGTATGAACCTCCATGACTCTGCATGGTGTCCTTAACCCACCCATAACATCTTGCCTGAAGAAATGGTTAAAGAAATTAGTTATGTTTATTCTATGAAATTTTATGCATATAAACAATGTCACTTTAGAAGGATTTTAATGATAGGAAAATGCTCATAGTACTAGGTACAGAAACAAAACTGCATATACACAATAACATAAGTGTGTGCACTGTATGCACATATCTGTGCACCTATAATCATATTGCACACACGCACTGGGAAGACTACAAAGGAGTCACCTGTCACGTTTAGCAGTGGTTATTGCCCTGGTGAAGGAGAGCCTGATGACGCTTATTTATTCTATTTGTTCCCTTTCCCTAAGTTTTTCTACTTCTGACATATCAATAAAACAGTATTTTAAAGTTAGAGCCCCACAGAACTCTGCTGTTAAGAGGGACACTTGCCTATGAGAACCCAAGTAGGTCCCAACGCGAAGGTCTCCCTCCGTGGATGCCGCCTCCCTCCTGAAGAGAGTGGCTGGAGGAGGGCCCGCTCAGGGTCCCAGAGGCCTGTGCCTACTTTTCCGCTCAGGGTGGTTTCACCAGTGTCTGGGCCCCACAGGGTTGCCACGGGGAGCATGGCCTATCCTCCATAGGTGGGAAGGTGCAGTCTATTCTGCAATAAGAGGGCCCTGGGGCAGGTGTGGGAGTGACCATAGGGTCGCCGTCCAGCGCTCCCAGGTGAGGGTGGCATGCATGCCTGTCTCACGCCCCATTTGAGTGCTTCCCTCTCAGAGCATCCCCCACCCCCACCCGGCTCGGCCTCCCTATGCCCTGTGTTACCTGCAGGGACATAGTGACAAAGGCAGGGATGCTGCTGCTCTCCGGGCGCTGGGTGCCTGGGGAAGGCTGGGCCGCTCCTTAAAGGGCAGCTGTCCTCCGCCCACCGCTCCCATTGGCTGCGCTGCGAGCCCGGGAGGTTCCCCTGGGTCAGGTGTTGAGAGGGCGGGGCGGGGCAAGGTCCCAGGGACCCGAAGACAGCGCCGCTTTGCTGTCGGCTTCTCGGCGCTGGCCAGGAGGAGAGAAGGGCACTCAGAGAGTTCCTCTCTGCCGCTGGATCGCCCATTTTCTCTGAGTTGTTGTAACATCCTAACTTCCTCTTAATTATCGCAAAGGTTAAGGACTGCACGCCTGTTCCACCTGACCCAGATTTCCAGGATCTATATATGCGACAGGAGAGAAAGAGGGAGGGAGGGGGAGGGGGAGAGGGAGAGATTGGTTTCTATCACTGGATAATAATACACATACATACACATTTCTATTTAAAAGTGCTTCTCAACCAGTTCTGCTTAACTGCTTCAGGAAGAATTCTGTCAAAAAAGAAAAGAAGGAATAAAAGAGTCGAGAAAAAGAAAAGAGAAAAAAAAGTCAGGTGCAATGATGTATGTCTGTGGTAACAGCAACTCAGGGAGGCTGAGACAGGAGGATTGCTAGAGACCAGGGATTTGAAGCCTGGAAAACAGCAAAACCCCATCTCAAAACAAAAACAAACAGCAATGATTAAACAACAACCAAAAAAAAAAAAAAAAAAAAACTTCTGTGCTAATCTACTTCATATAAATGTCTATACTTTAATTCTAAAATTTTAGGACTCATTTGTACATTTCTATGACATTTTAAATAGTTAATTGTAGACACTTTTATATTATGGGCATAATTTATTTCCAGCATTGATGCTTTTTTTTAAGAATCTATGGAAAATGTAAAGTTCAGCATCACATCACAGTATGCCTCTTCTTTCAGAAAAGAAAGAAAGAAAGAAAATTGTTGTGGACCTAAGACTTCTCTTTAAAAATAAAGTTGCTTGGAAAAAAAAAGAGAGAACAACATTCCAGACTAGCCTTGAGACTATATGATTTCAATGATCTTTCAAATTTCTGTTTTTTTGAAACTTAGGAGGTCAAGGTCAGTCCCAGCAACGTATCGAGGGCCTAAATAACTTGGCGAAACCCTGATCAAAATAAAAAATTTAAAAAGCTGGGGACGTACTTCCATGTCAAATTGTTCCTGGGTTAGATCCCCAGTACCACCCTGTCCCTGCAAATTGCTCTTTTTTAATAAATAAGCTCTGCCAAGGTCCAAGACGGCTCGAACATCTCAACACTGCCACACCTGCATGGGCTGGGTCCAGCTCACTGAAGTGCCTTGTTATTTCTCCTGGAGCAAGGATTCTCTATATTATGACACCATCCAAGGGTGTTTCCCATCTATTTACCTGGTTTTAGTTGAGATTAAATCTCTCTATTTCCTTGTAACTTCCCCCTGAACCTACTCCAACTTGCTGAAATTTAGAGTTAATTCCTCAGTGCAGAGCCATTCACCATTTATAACACCTGTTATCTGACCTCTGGGATTAGGGATGTTGTCCCATGATATTAGGGGTGCTGGGAGCTGACATCATGTTGATCATGGGTTTGCTATCCTGTAAGGATAATAAATGGCCTGAATCCAACAGACTCTTTTTCTCCCTACCAGTTTTATCTATGGATGGGCTGCCATGCTTTTGTCTAGAATTGCTGGAGTGCTTGAAACTCCTCCTATTCACATTGCCTCCATGGATGCAGATGTGCTTTAGCATGTCATATAGTCCTAACTAGCAGGGCTCCCAATGGCTCAGACTCCAAGTCTGTTCTATGATTTTGCAGCTCATCCTTGACAATTCAGAGCAACTGATTGAAAATGACTAGTGATTATATATGTAAGTGTTGTAACAATAACCAGCACAGAGCAAAGGCCAGAATGCCATGAAGAAAAAGAAGAATCTGGTGGTTTATTCTGTTACATTCTTCTACTGACACTTTCTTGCTGGGATTCAAATGATTTTAAATAATGACCCAACTTAACACCCAGAATTAAACCACTGTTATATCATGGCAATTATATAAGTCTGACAATAATCTAATTCTAGAATTAATATAAAAAGAAAGGTTTTTTATAAACTATTCAATGTTTTCATAAGTGATTCAAAGACTCAACTGATAGTTTATAAGGTAAAATAACAGCTGTTCTTAAAAAAGTAAAACTGATCATGGAATACCAAACACGTAAATGTTAAAGTGGTCCCTGTAAGCCTATGTTTGAGAAAGAGAATGTGGAAAAGAAACCAGTACACAAAATTTATATTTTTATTTTTAGCATGCATTTGTGTGAAATAAATTAGAAAGGAATAGTGAAAGGAAAATGTTTGAGGTGATTTGGTCATGAAAGTTTTTAGGTTTTTTGTTTGTTTGTTGACTTTTTTGTTGTAATGTTTGTGCTACACAAATGGGAGAGAAATTAACCTTTGAAATATAGTTGTGCATTTTAACAAAATTCTTGTGGAAGTTGGATTGCTAGTCTTAAAACACAAGCACTAAACACACAGAGGCTACATTTATTTTTTATAAATTTAATTTGACAAGGTTGTCACTGTTCAGTTTACCAAGCACATACTATGTGCCAGGCACATTGCTAATCATCTTACAGAGATCAACTCCTCTAATCTTCACAATAGGTACTATTTTTATCACTTCATGGATAAGGTTGATTTGCCTAGGGTCACATGCTAGTGATGAAGTTAGCATTTCAACCTAGTCAGCCTAGCTCCAGAGCCATGTAATGCAATGGCTGATAATTTCCAATGGAGCAAATGGAAGCTCAGATGATATTCAAAGTATAAAACTGGAATCTTAGGGATTTAAAACTGTAAATTTACAAGGTTCCTTCCATCATTCTAGTATTTCAATTAGACCTGTGTGTCTCTAGTTGTCTTTAGAACTGCATTGTGTTTACAGTTTACCATCATAAACTACTCATTCATTTTATGAAACAAAAGCCTATCAATACACTCAAACTCACTGTAACCTTATTCTTTGTAATTATGATAAATAATCACATCAGCCTTTACTGTGTGTAATTTGCAAAAAAAAAATGCAATAATAATAAAAAAATAATCACTTTTGTTTTGTTCTAGGGGCTCAATCCAGGGGCACTTTACCACTGAGCCACTTCCCAGCGGCCCCCCCCCCCCCCGCCTCTTTTTAATGCTTAATTTTTCTATTTTTTTTTTTTAGTTGATGATGAACCTTTATTTTATTTATTTATATGTCATGCTGAGAATTTAACCTAAGCAAGTGCTCTACCACTGAGCTACAAAGCCAGCCCTGACCCCTTTATTTTTGAGAGTGGGTCTCGCTAAATTGTGTAGGGCCTCACTAAAATGCTAAGATTGACTTCCAATTTGCGATCCTCCTGCTTCAACCTCCTGAGTCAATGGGATTACAGGCGGGCGCTGCCACGCCTGACCTGCAATAATCTTGACCAAAAGTAACATTCTCTGTTTTACCTCGTTAAGTATTGCAGAGGTAATGAAAATATAGAAGCTAGATCCAAAAATGAGGAAGAAAACGAGAAGTGAACAGGCTGAGAAAAGGAGGAAAATCTGGAAAAGGAAAGTGGACCCAAATTAGACCGGAAAAGAAAAAGGGAGACCGGGATTGTTGCTCAGTGGTAGAGCGCTTGCCTAGCATGCATGAGGCACTGGGTTCGATCCCTGGCACCACATAAAAATAAACAAATAAAATGAAAGTATTGTGTCCATCTACAATTTAAAAATATATTTAAAAAGAAAAGAAAAAGGGAATGTGAGAGAGAAGGCATTATCGTCAAAAGCAACCTACCGGCTTCTACGTTGCCCAGAATAGATCAGCAAATCAGATTCCTGGCCTCTAGCATGTTACTCAATTCTATAACCAATTGTCCACGACTTCCCAGCGACTCCATTCATAACCTAGTCTCCATTGGTTGTAACAGCCTCAGAAGACCCGTGATGGAATATTGCGGACTGCTGTGTTGAACTCAAAGGAGGCCTAATTCCCCTTGACTTTCGGGGGATTCAAGAGTCCCTGCATTATTGCCTATAAGCTCGTGTTTTCCCCAACTCTCCAACTCCCCACTTATTTGATTTTCATAGTGCTGGGCAGTCTGCAGGGATTCGATAGACAGTGGGGAATGGGACAGGGGCTGGGATTTTGCGTCCCTAGAGCAAGAAGGCTCCAATATGCTGGAAGTTGAAGTTGGGCTAGAAGGGAAGGGTGCCCTAGGAGAACCAGTCCTGGGGACTATTGGCGGTACCCTGATCCCCAAAGGTGTCAGAGAAGACGGTGAGTGGCAGTTACCGTGGCAACACTCGCGGTCTCGCGAGACAGATGTTGCATCTGCGCACTGCAGCTTAGAGCGCTGTAGAACCTTCACCCCGGGTCTTATATTCAGGACTTTTGTGTGTGTGTGTTTGTTTTAAACGATGGAGCCTTATTCTGACGTTTCCTCGCGACACTGTTGGGAGCGACCAAACGCAAGGTAACGAAACTTGAAGAGCTCCAAGCTATGTCGCGCCATTCACTGCTCCCGGAAGGCGGGGCGGGGAAGGCAAGGACACTGCGCACGCGCGGCGCAGGCGCAGTGGGGCCGGCGCTGTGGCTGGCTGCTGGTGTGGAGTCGCGGTGGTGAGGCGGAGGAGCAGGCAGACGCTGGAAGAAGGTACCCTTCCGGGTGGGAGCGGGCCCAGGGCGCTGGGAGCACGCAAGGTCCCCGCGGCTTCCAGATGCCTCTTGCGCCGCCGCTGGACCGCGGACTGTAGGGAGGGGTTAACTCCGGGCCAGGAATGCTTCCGCAACCGGCGTCCTCCAGAAACCCGGAGTTCGCGAGTCTTCACCCTTGGGTCCTTACCTACTTTTCTTAGCATCTCTGCCCAGCGACCCTGAAGTTTTTAGTTTTCTTTAATTCTTCCCCCGGGACACTGTTGTGTTTCATATTCCTTTTGATAGGAATTCATCAGAGGTAGTTAAAAAAAAAAAAAGTCACTTCCTGTAGGAAGCCTTCCTCTCCTAACCCCCGCTCAACTAGGTTAGGTCTCTGCTCAGCGTCCCTTGGCATCCTGTAGTTACCTGACTTTAAAGCGTGCACCACATTACATTGCTTTATTCTCCGCCCGTAGGGCTTGTAAACTCTAGCTCCTAGAGGCCAGTGACTGTTTTTGCTTGGTGCATCATAGGGAATCCGCAAATACTTAACTATGAAGGTGGTCGTGGGTCTGAGAGTGGGAGTGGTTATTCCAGGCTAAGAGAATGTGTGTAAAGACATGTTGATGAGAAACTGGTAGCCTCCTGGGGGTGATATGCAGGGTGTGGGGTAAAAAGAAAGGATAGTGGAAAGCAGGGCCGGCATGTGGAGGGTTCAGGGCCCTGTATATCACACTAGAGTTGCACTTGATCCTGTAGGCAGTGAACGCACCTTCACCCTTCCTGTTTTGCACCCTTTCTCTGAAGGTTTTTGTTGCTTTTAGTTACAATTTGCGTATCTAAACTACTTTTCATCTCCCCCTACCAGATTCTGCAGACCAGGGAAGGTACTGCCTATTTTGCTATCAGAGTAATTAATTGTAAGTATTTATTCTGTGCTGTTTGGACCCTGGGACCCAATAACTGTCGTATTGGTTAAGCGAAACCTCTGTTAGATGATATTTATATTGCTCCTCATTTGTTTCCCTATTCCTGACCACTTCCACCTTGATGTCTTATGCTACCCGTCACTTCATTGGATTTAGATGAGCTACTTTTATTACTGAGCTTGGGAGAATAGATATGACAGATGGGAGAAGGCAGCAGATATCTCCAGCATTGGGAATACAGACATGACCAAAGTTTTCTGTCAAAATTCCCAGGAATTTTGCTTTCTGGGGAAAGGTGATTTGTAATACTAGAGACCAGGAGACATGAGTGGACCATTTCTCAGGCCTGTCCAGTATATAAAGACCACCTTACCCACACCTGATTTCTTAATTTTGGTGCTGTATCGGATTCACTTGGCAGCAGACTTTTTTTTTTTAATACAAGCCTAGATTTCTTGGCAGTACTCTCCAATTCAGTTGATTTGAGGTGAGAACCAACCGTGTAGGTTTTTTTTTAAAAGCCACAGGTTATATTTGAAGTGCAGGCAGGATTATAAGAGTAAAAAAAGTAGTTGTGACTTTGGGTACTGAATCTGTTTCCTTGTCCACACATTGGGGAATTATAGTAATGCTATAATAATCAGATAGTACATGGGAGAAAGTACTTTATACACTGGTATACTCTATTGCTGGTCTTGTGTGTTGAACTTTATTTGGAAGGGATTTCACTTCTTTTAGTTTTGCCAGGTGGGTCCCTGTCTTTCTCACTGAGCTTCAGAAAGGGAAGGAAGAACATTGAGGAAGAGAAAGGAATGTACAGTTGCCTCTGGGAAGAATTACAGGATATGCTCCCTAGACCTGTGGTTTATAGCATATCCTTAATAATTAATAAACCTTTCTATTTCTCCTTAGTGGATTGGGATCTTTAAATCTTACTACATTTCCCTAGTTTTCATGAAACTGCCAGCCAGAGTAGTCAGCTTGTAATAAGCGTGGGCAGGAATATAGGTCTGCATATGTATCAAATGTTTAGGAAAGATATAAGGAAATCTAGGGGCCAGGGTGGGAGGGAAACTTAAAAGGGGACAGAATGAAAATATTGTTTTAAGTTTTAGTTGTATGCTGGTTAATTATGAATCACAGAGGCTTCTGGGGCCTTTACAGATGTGGAACTATGTTCAGGACACAGATTTCAGTCACCATGAGCCCCAGGGCCTATAATAGCACATGCACATTAGAGATGCTCAGTGAATATATGCTGTGAGAATAAATGAAAGTAAACCCAACTAAAGAGTAATGTATGAAATGCTAACAAATCTATAAGACTATCATATAGTTATGAAAAGGGTAATTATGAACAAAAAGAAAATTTAATTAATTCATTTTAAATAAATGAATTAACAATTACATCACTGTAATTGCAGTGATGTAAAATAGTCCCATATTGTCTGTATATGAAGAAAGACAAGGTCACCTGAAAAAAATGGGGAAAAGGTGGGACCTATCTACTTAATACTTGCTATAGCTTATCAAGAATTAGAGAAAATATAACCAAGATAGTCTCAAGACAGGCTTTCCTAGCTGACATGAATGTTCCACTGTCATTGTTTTTCTATGAAGGATTTTCAAAATGCCTGCAGCCCCTCAAGCACCTTCCAGAGGATCCATTCGCAAGACCAGACCTCTGGTTGTAAAGACGTCCTTGAACAACCCCTATGCTGTCTGTTGGAGCACACTGGAGAGGGAGGACATGCACTTCATTTTACAGACAATTGAGCAGAAGTTTAAATCTATTGGACTTCAGAAAATCGAGGACAAGAAAAAAAGGAAAAAAACGCCTTTTATAAAAAAGCACAAGGTAGAAAGATGCAGCCTAGGTGTTGATACTAGTGAGGATCTGAAGAATAGGCCAGAAGCTAACCAGCAGGTGTCAGGGTGGACGCCTGTGCAGATCAGGAAGCAGCTTGCCATAGGTGTTAATGAAGTCACCAGAGCTCTGGAAAGGAGTGAACTGCTCTTGGTTCTGGTATGTAAGTCAGTCAAGCCTGCCATCATCACCTCACACTTGATTCAGTTAAGTATAAGCAGAGTTGTTCCTGCCTGTCAGGTTCCCTGCCTCAGTGCGACACTAGCCCCTGTCATTGGCTTAAAATGTGTGCTAGCATTGGGATTCAAAAAAGACACCACTGACTTTGTAGATGAAGTAAGAGCTATCATTCCCAGAGTGCCCAGTTTAACTGTGCCATGGCTTCAGGACAGAATTGAAAATATTGGAGACAATTTAGAAACTGAATCTTTGGGAATCCAAGACAAAGAGACTTTGGAAACTTCATTTGAAGACCTCTCAAAGCACAAGAGAAAACTTGAAGGTCAGCAGGTCTCTGTAGCATTACAGCCTCTTAAAATAAAGAAATTGATTCCCAACCCTAATAAGATAAGGAAACCACCCAAAAGTAAAAAAAATACTTCGAAGTAATCTTGTATAAACTTTTCATGCAATTGATAAAAGGACACCTTGTATAAAGAAGGCTTGAAACAAATAAAATGAAATATATTTATGTATATTGGGATCCTGTGTAATGTTTCCTTCAAGTATGTATGAATGTTTGAAGCTATAGCACAAACATGCTGAAGCCTAAAAACATTTAAGTGCAGAAAATAATCAAAAATATGAATATGAAAACAAAAGTTTATTGAAACTAACGTCCATGCTTGTATAAATTCACTGTTTTAAAGGCTGGTACAATGCTTGTTAGCAAGAACATCTGTAGCCTACAACACCTAACATTTTCCCATCAAACTTGGAAAATGTGCCACAGTAGACATGGTTCTAATAAGTACGGTCAATGAAACTAGATTGGGAGCATTGAGTTTCAAAGGAAAAATACCAAATGCCTTGCAATACTTTGTCTTTAGAAGGAATATATTTTTTTACTTCATGTCAGTTTGGCTTTCCTTGTAGGCAGGCATAAACATCTGCTTGGGATGAAGGCCCAATGGGATAGAAGTAAGCCAGATAAAGTATTTTAATTAGGATTCATTTTCCTGTGTATTGTTAACTTACTTGGAAATTAACATGTATAAAAAGTATGACGGGTAGGGGCATAGCTCAGTGGTAGACCCCCAAATTTAATCCTTAGTGTGTTTGTGCATGAGCATGCACACACATAACCAAACAGAAAACTGTGATGGCAATTAGGTGAGACGTGGCAAGAAGTAAATTTTTTAAAAAATTGAGCATGAGTTCTCAGGCAAGATTTTGTGAGCATAGTGTTCTGTGTTAAGTGTCTATAATATATATTTGGAAAAGTTATTTTTGTAGTTTAGGGGAAGATAATGGTTTTGCCAAAGTTTCAGCCTAAAATCTGGATGACTCAGTAGATTATGCCATCTGTTAATTTAGATTTTACTTAGTGCCATCTTCGCACAAATTAAAAAGAAAAGATACAGCATTTTCATTACAGGACAATTTTTTAAAAATTTCTAAATACTATATTGCATTTAAGTTGTACTGATTCTCCAAAATGCTCACTGGTAATCTGCTTGAATTATAAATAGGACAGTGATATTGATTGTATTTAAGAATCAAGTAAATAACATGAATTCTATAACTGGAATATGTAAGTAAGCCTTGACTCCAGAGTGTGTAAATTCTTATTTAATGCTGGTGTTCCCAAGGAGTGTTCTAGTGAATTGGTCCAGTTTTGTTTCTTGATGCTTTTCTCCTTCTGTTAAGAATGGAATGCAGCTAAGTTTGAACCCTGTGAAATGATAAGTCTTCCTGTGTCTTTTAAGAACATTGTTTGTACCAGTTAGGCACTACTGTGGGGCCCAAGTGTCCCCTCTAGTGGCAGTCTTGGATGCCACACTTGTGTTTTCAACTCCTTAGTAAATGAAGATCCACAGACCTTCTAAAAAGGGACAGTTAACAGATATTTTACGCTTTGGAGGCCATACAGTCTGGCACAAATACCCAACTTGCCTTTGTAGCATGAAATGGCCACAGGTGAGACACAAACAAAAGGGTGGCTGTGTTCCAAGGAAACTTTATGAATGCTGAATTTAAATTTCATATAATTTTCATGTCACAAAATGTCACTGTTTTGACTATCTCCCCCCAATCAAAAAAGATAAAAAGCATTCTTAGTTCCTGTGTTGTACAAAAACAGATGATGGGCCAGATTAAGTCCAGGGGCCATACTTGATGGTCCCTGTCTGGTTTTAAGATAATGACTGGTTTTATTGGATTACTTAAAACATGAAGGTAATGCCATTATGCTGTCTAACATAATTTATCTTTTTCTGGACTGAGCAGCCGAGGCACTGGTACGGTAAAGGCAGGAAGAAGTGTCTACTTTGTGGTACTTGAGTAAAGGCCAGTCTGCAGCCTTGTTTAGCATCTTATTTATCCCTTGGATTACTGGTGATATATACACATACATGTACACTGTGAAACTCTTGTTTTTCAAATTCTAGGTAAAAACACCATTGGTAACAAAATTATGAATACTTATTTACAAATAAGACATTTCCATTAGCATGACAGTTCATGATAAATTAAAAGTCAGCATAAAGGAATATGTGCAATTTTGCATAAGTAATAAAAACATTCAAACTATCAATGCCTTATAGCACTAATAAAGCAACCCGGCATTAGTTTTGACCTTAGAGTTTTTATTTTCTTTCCCTCATGTATCCTTGATGTTGCTGAGAAGAAACTGGAGATGGTGCAGCAGTGGAAAAGTCTGGTCATTCACAGGTGTATGCTCTTCAGGGAGCACACTTAATGTTTGCCTCAAACTTTGCTTTTGAAACCATCTATTGACCTACTGAAGATCAAAGTACAAATCTCTGTGTTTACTGATTTGGCAACTTTGCCTATGGAGTAATAATGTACTAGTAATCAGTACATTTTCATTTTGCTCCATATTTGTCATTCCATAAATGTTCCCAGTGATGTCATGTAAGGTGATATACATAAAAATTTTCCAAATGGGTCCTTTGTTCTATTATACAGACAAATACACCACCACTTAATAAATAGAAATGCAGCAGCTTATCTCCACACAATAGCAGAGATTTTCTTACACGAGGCTGTGACTTCTCTTTAGTTCATAGAAAAACAGTTCCCTTTCTAGAGAGTGGAAAAGTACCCTCACTTCACCAAGAAAGCCAAAAATTTGAAAACCAGAGAAATGTGCTCTTTGTACCTTTTCATCCCTCCCACAAGTGGGTAAACAGCAAAAAAAGAAAAGATGCATTTTAACATTCTAACTAGGAATGTGTACAACTGGTCACACATGGGGTGTTTTTTCATCTTTGCTGATTGTTACCAACTACTTCAATTTCACTTAGGTTGTGCTTTTATTCTTCTTTGGAATGGCGGTTCCAGGAATCATTAAATAGGATATGAACAAATGAGGATGCCAGACTTCTAGAAGTCAACACAGCTATCTACTGTAGTACAAGTCCAACCTGGAGGAAAGAAATGAAATAGTAAGAACAAATAAATTAATTGATAACATAATACAAAAGATCTGTGATTTTAAAAGCTATTTAGAATAATCCAAAGGGAAGTAAGGATGGAATTGTCTAGTTAGACTTACTTTGTTTACAAAGACTTTGTCAACATAACTTACCTTTTCAGAATCTGTTCCTGGACACCTCCAGTTGTACAAGTAATACTGCAAACTACCATCTCCTATACCAAACTTGAGTTTTTCCAAGAAGGTCTTATTTTCCATCAAATCTAGTGCATTGAATACATCAAATCCTTTCTGCCAAAGAAAGAAGGATTTAAAATTAAAACATCAAAGGACTATCTATAGAAATTATTGATATAACATTTAATTCCTCTACTAATAGCTTGGATATGCATTTACAATAGGGCTTAATGTCTGCAATGTATAGTATAGGTTAGGAAGACCATACAAAATTGTAGTAAAAAGCTAACAGTGAGTCAACAAGATCTTTCAAAATGCTGAATTAAAAAAAAAATGTGCTCTGATGGCTATCACTGACATAAAAATAACCTATTAAGATTTCAGAAAATACCATGTTCCTGATTCAGAAGGGAGCAGTTGTCTAGACGGTTCCATTTCCAGAATTATTAATTACTGGCCTAAGGCCTGACGTAAGTGAAGCTATTGCTAAGAGTTGTAAAGACTTTAAATAGCATGTTTGTCTTGGACTGATACTGGAAAGTAAGTTTAATATTTTAATGGTAAAAAATAAATTTCTTAAAAGTGTTAGATAGTAATACTATGCAAAATGTAATATAGAAGGAATACCTAAATTTTAATTTCTACTTTAACTTATTGACCACTGAGGGAAAGTTGCTGAAAATGAGCAATCGGGATAATGTTGATTTAGAGACCAAAAGTAGCAAATTTATACAATATTTTCAATGATCTAACGCCAGAGAAATCAAGGAAGACATTTTTCAAGTACTGTTTCCAATTTCTCATGAGCAGTTATTTTCCCATATTCAATATGTATCATCAAAATGTATGTCAGCTGATTCAAATTTATTTTTAAAAGAAAGATATCTATTTAATAATTACCTGAGAATAATTTTTCTGGGAAAATAGAAAAATAATAAAAAGATATGTATTTTCAAGTTAATTAACATTCATAGGCTGCATCTTATATCCCTTATGAATTTTGTGTCTTCCTGTATAAGGGTTAAGTTTTCTAACTTATACAATATTTCGTTTTTGTTAAATTGAAATAAAATCAATGATGAAAACAGCCACTAATGTTTTAAAAGAAATACAGCAAAATTCTTCCATTGTCAATAGTGTGTATGGGGTTGGGGAGGGCATTGCATGAATTACATCTGGATGGAAGAAAACACCATGAGACGTTTTATATATTTTGGCATATACTCTTGAAGAACTAAATTGAACAAAAATGACTGAGTCACTCACCAATTTAGCTATAATGAGTGCATCGTTCATGAGGTCCAGCAGGGGTGTCTCTGTGTGAATGTTATAGAAGGAGTAGGCAGCTTTGAGGCTCTTATGAGCAGGGTGGTGCATGACTGTGGACGGAAGCGTGTAGAAGCTCAGGAAGTCAGTCAGTTTCCCACTGGAGCTCTAAAGGACAATGGTGATACCAAGTAAGTGTCTCCTTGAAAAAACTGCATGCAGCTAACTCTTTCACCATAATTTTCTGTCCAGACAAAAAGCAACAAGTGAGAATTCTTTCTTGACAGCCTATTTTGAGCCCCTTATATTATGCTGGGTGGTGGCCAAGAAGAGCAGGCAGTTGGAACCATAGCAGAAGTGCTAGTCAGTGATTTGCATAAAGTTCTTAGAAAGCAAAAGGTCCTACCAGGAAAGTTTCCCTCAGGCTGACCGAAGAGTCGATGTTCTACATTATGAAGTAGTAATGAAAGATTTCATTTGCAGAAATGAAAGCTCTAGGTATTAGAAGGCTGCCATCTCCACTCTGAAACACATAGGCTGCCTCCAGGAGAACAACTTGGGAGCTGAGCTAGCCACTTTTTTCATGGAACACTACTTGAAAGTAAAACTGGCAAGATTATGGTTGTTCAGACT